ACGTATTAGTAAAAATTAGAAAGTAATATGACCAGCCGCCTAAAACTAAAACTACCAATAATAATTTTCATAATGAACCTTCTTCCTGCTAAGGCATCCAGCCTACAAGTGCTTTGAAATATAAGCACAGGCATCTTCAGATACACAGAACATTAAGTTTGAGTTCCTCGAGACAGTCTATTCCAATTTCCTTCACAACTGTGTGAATTGGTACCAGTCCCTTGAATGCTCAAAAATATGCTCTCAATCCAGAGATACATACAACTTTTTATTTACTAATTTACCTGCTATTGCTACAAATCAATCACAGGATTACTAGAACTGAACAATGGTAAACAGTAGTAGTATTTGCTGATAAAGCCACAGAAGACAAGCAATAAAATCCAAAGCAGGTGCAGTGAACTAAGGTACCTCTACCTTTTGTTCTTGTTTGAGAAACTATAATTGAAATTGCTTGTCTTGCTAATATTTGAATCTCAGCAACATCGGTAACATTTCTGCAGAAATTCTCCTACCCCTAAAATATTCTAACAGTGATGGAAACTCAAAGGAAGTCATATTAGCATAGCTGGGGAATGGCTGTTACGATAATCCTCAAAGGACCTCGCTAGCCTTAGAACTATTAAAACTTTTCTCTTTCAGACTTAGTTGTGATAATATGGGTGTTACAACCTCCTTCTTTACAGAGAATACACCACATATTTGGTTGTTTACACAGTAAACACAAAAAATCTTCACAAACAGTGTTGAGGAAAGAACCAGAGTTGTTCCTTCCTTTAGCCAGACTGTTTTTAAATTGAAACCAATAACAAGCAGAGGAGGACTAGGCCAGAGATTAATGTTCCTCCATGCTCTTCAGCTTTATAAAGCTACTTGCATAACATTCAAGCAAATTGTACAGTGACTGACATGAACAAAATGACAGTAATCTGTCACTACTTCACATTTCCCACTAGGCTAATTTAAATAGTTATTTATAAAGCTTACACTTCAATGGTCACTTTGATGACTAAACCATAAATTAGAATGTAAAGTGAATATAAATTTGATTTTAGTGTCACAACAAATTGTCAGCGGTGTGGGAATATTACTTAATTTCTATTGGCACGCTATGAAAAAGTCAGCAATACCAAGATGCACTACGTCATAATAAACCCTAAACTTCGCAAAAAAAAAAAAAAAAGTATGCTAGATCTCATGTTTGCTTCAGTGCTTCTGCATTTAAAAATAAAAGCACTTTATATTATGCATGGTTAATTTTAAATAGAAAGTCTTAATAATGTCAGATTACTTCATTACTTTGATCCTCAATTAAACGGGGACCAAGAATGAACTTTTTTCTACAGAGCATGATTAAATTTGACAGCAAGCAATGGATTTAGATGCTAAGGTTTTTAATAGTCGTGATTAAAAGCTCACTTTTAAGATAGTGTTGCTGTTTTTCCAATATTTATCTCCTGCATTATGGCTGAAAGTGAGATGATGCTGAAACAACAGTTCTGTTTTTTCAGAAACATTTTTTTTTTTTGAGTGGAGGCAGGTAATACCTCAGAAAAAAAAACAAAACTCCTTACTACCCAAACATCAAGAAGTCTTGCAAGGACCTATGTCTCAAAAATTATCTTGATAAACTGATTTTTTTTTTTTAATCAGAGTATTTTCTGTTAAATAGTTGCACTGTTACTGTCTGTTACTCCTACAAGCATAGAAGAAAAACACACCCTTCAAAACTGAATTCAAAATGATTATACCTTGTCCGGAAAATTTCTAGAAGACTGACATATAAGAAATACTTCAACATAAGTTTCACTGTTTTGGCAGTGTTAAAAATAGGAAGTTGTGTCAGATTCTCTTTACTGTTCCTTACTTTTCAAGTACACTTTTCCTTAATTTCTTACAAAGAACGATGCCAACATGTGATCCAATTAAAAACTATTTTAGCTTCAAACAGATTGGTTTCACATGTGGGAGAACCCCCTGAAATAGCTATGATTTGAAAACAAATAAACAAGCAAAAGCCTGCAGGTTTAGCAATAACTGCAGCCATTCTGCAATGCTCTGATACATCCCAGTCACAAAGCAAATCTCCAACTAACAAGCACGTAATAGAAAGATAGGTACTTAATGTTGATTACTTGACAGCAGTTTGATTGCAAATATATTTAAGACATTTGTACTAAACACTAGTTTTCTATGTTTGCAAAGCTAAAACATACATGGAGAGATTTTCACATTCTGAAAATCCAAGTGGTTATTCCACAGAACTAGAACACTACTTCCTTTTTTCCTTCTGAATATCTTGCCAGCTAAGAAGTTCACACCTACATATAAAACATTTTAAAGTGAGTGTTATGTATTACATGGTAGAGTGAAATGTGTCTCTCAATGGCTTGTCTCAATCTTGAGTTAAGAAAGATTTCTATAAAATTTTGTTGTCATTACTACCAAGTAGAAAAATGGGGAAAAAAGCAGCAGATTACAATGGTTCTTCTGGTGTAATGAAGAAGTCAGAATCCATGCTAAGAGGTAATAACAAATCTTGCCTAACCTTTTATTGCTGTCATGCTCTTGAACGAAAAATAAAATGGACAACACTTTTATCTATGCAAAATGCAGGCTGGTATATGAAATAGTTTCCTATTGTTCATGCACAGGCTTGTTAGAGATACTTTTGTGTGTACAGGCACGTGTATGTTTATGTCTGATCAAAATGTTCACTAGCAACCAGGAAACAAAAGATGTCCTTAATCCTAACTGCTCCTTTATAAAGAACAGTGAGTGGGTGTACCAGTGAGGGATCAACCAAGCCTGCCTGCCCTTCCTAATCTTTCCAAGGCAGCTGAAACAGTTATCTGATGCTGAGGGACAATCTTTAGGCTAAAACAAAACTGCCTAAGAGGTGCAAGACAAGACCCACACCTTTGAAGGAAAAGAGTCTGCCCACCCAAGAGTCTGTTTTAGAGAAACAATATATTTTTTCAGGGTCTACAACAACAAGGTAATCCAGGTGTTCACAGGACTCAGACAGGAGAGATTCTGTTTTAAAATCTGTTCCGGACCTCCTATGGCTGAAATGAGTCAGCAGAACCACATTTTGTTAAAAGAAAAGCTGGAAAGCTTTTATTTTAGCAAGACTTACCCACCATCTGATTTGGAACGGCCTATTATTTAGGCTCACAGAACCAGCAAGAGCCAAACTACCTACACCAAGTCAGGGTTCCCCAAACATTAAGATACTACAAATCAGGGTCCTCACTTCAGCATCACAGACACATCTGTGAAGCAGGAATAGTATTCCACACCTACCTCACGTGCTTTGATACACTGAAATTGAACTCCCTTCAGAAAAAGAAAGCACCTGCTATTATAAAAGAGCTGTACCAAGTTTAAAACAAAAATAAATTTAGTACACTTCAGTCATCCATTTCCTGACAACACAGTTACTGTGGTAGACTCACTAATGTTCTGCTGATCTATTAAGAGATATGTTTAGATTCTTACAACCTTCACAGAACATTTTCTGAAACACTGGTGGGAATTTTTCTTATAGCCACAATCTAGAAGAGATTTGCTGTAACATTTTACTATGAGAGATCTCACATTCACAAATTGTTACATCAAAGAAGATGCAGATTTTTGTAAGTGGTAGAATTTGATCTGGTGCATTTTTATCTTTTGGCAACTCCTCCATTGTCCTCTCCAGACTCTAATACCTCCCTGGAAATCAATATTGGATATCAAGGCCCTCAAAGACAAAAACTCAAAAGAGAGAAAAAAAATAGATGAAAGTTCTACTAATTACCTACAGATAAGAGAAAAAAATGAGATGAAAGTTCTACTAATTACCTACAGATAAAAAACACTCCAGCATTTAAATATAGTTGCATTGAATCAATCCAATCTTAATTGTTTCTTCAAGAAATACTTTTAAAATTAAAAAAAAAAATATAACAAAGATATGTTACCACAAAACAACACCTGTTCCTGGGAGAAGAGATTCCAAAGAAATAATTTAGCTTGCACCAAAATATTCATACTTAATGACTAAACCAAAGGGCTTAGCTTTCTACTGAAATAAGACTCCAGCTAACCGACCTGCTGGTTGTTAAAAGATTCATGTTATCACAGACCATGGAAGAACAGGTGCACAGGTGCATTTGAGACTTAATAAAAGGACTACTGAGTTTTGACCAGTGTCAGATTTTGCATGGAAGGACAGCCTAAGCAATGCAAGTTCCCTTGGAGAGTTAAGGCATAGAAGCTTGCTTTCTTCAAATTTACAGTGGTCTCTGTAGATAGACAGTAGGTACATATGAGAATTAATGAAGTACCTAAAGTACAACAAAGTGCAATTCATATCTAAGTAATATGGCACCAAGTGGAAGGAACAGAGATGCTACAAATGCTACTCAGAAAAGGCCAGAGAAAAATATTGCTAGTGACTCAACTTTTTGCAAAGAAAAATCTACCACCCTGCTTGGACACACTTAGCCAACATTTAATTCATTCACTTTAGGATTTTCTTGTTCTGCTCCTGTTCTAACATTGTATCTGGAGGTGCAGAAAAACAAACACAGAAAGCAAGACCATTTGGAGTGACTGTCACAGCCACTCTTCTAAACCTATGATATAAGAAGGAAAGCACAAGAAAAGGAACCCAACACACATGAGCTAGAAGAAAGACATTCAAAGGAAAATTAGGGCAGAACAGATAAGCAGAGTGAAGAGACAGTAAAACAAACACCAGAAAAGGTAATGGAAGAGTATACAAACTTTTGACAGGAAGGCCTGTTCTGCTCAGAAACAAACAGCCCCAAATTCCCCATTGCAGCTATCATGGATAAACAGATGGTTACCACCCTCTCAAACTGAGACATAAAAAAACTACTGTTGATCCAGAGATGTTTTGAACAAGGATTTATTTTTCCCACCTCTAATGGTACAAGTGAATTTACCAAGGAGTGTACAACTCTTAGATAAAATGAGAGAAATAAACCTACCTGCCGATGAATAACCTCAAGGTTTGCTTTGGCTTTATTCACTAGTTCTTCTATTTTTTCAGAATCCTTTATATTCTTGTTTTCTCTGAAGGCATCTCTTATCCTCCTGATGGCATACATTCTAAACACAAACAGTAAAAAGACATATATTCATAGATGTGCCAGTTTACAACATTTCAACATGCAGATTTTTTTTACAAATATACACAGACATATACAGTTTGCTCAGTTTTATACATAAATCTTTTTATTCAGGGTCTTGCCTTGCCTGATTTGAAACAGTGACCAGAATCTTGAATTAAAAAAGTGTTTTTATTGGCTGTTATTGTAGAAAAATGTTGTATTTCACACGAGTCCGGTTGTTATTGTTGTAAACATACTGTTGGATGCCTGGCCTCTATATTGCAAAGCTCAAGAACATAAAAAAAAGCTAAGAACCTAAAAAACATCCACCAAATGCTTTTTGAATCAGTGCGACTATTCTTATTCAGCAGACTCTAAAGGTCATCGGTCTCAATGTTAATCACAAAATACATTATCTGTTATTCCTAGTTCTGCCTTTGTAATCTGGCAGTCAAAGAAAGACTGATGGACCAACCATACCAAAAAGGGCTCCTTCCCCATCACTCCCTTCTCTGACAAAGTGTATTTCACCTCTCAGTCCAACACACCACCTCATCCATTTCCCCACTAAGAAGCAATAACAGGACATGATCTCTTCAAGCAGTAAAAGGTTATATCATCTCTGCTTTCAGAAAGGAAAGTTCAAAGCTGCACTCATCTCTTCTTTTAAAACCAATAAAGAACCTTTATCCAGTCTGCATTGTACTGCTCAATAAAAACCAGGGCCAATTTCAATATTAAAATAAAATTTTCAGACTGAGCATAGCTACTTTCATTAAACCCATGCTAAGGGAGGGGAACGAGAAATGGTAGTGAACTGATCCTGCTCGGCTATCTTGATAATGTCCCACTTCCCTACCACCACATCACATCAGTATCAATTTTACTAAAGAAACGAAAAACCCTATATGCAGTGCTAGAAGGAAGAAAAAAGGCTGCTGCAAACAACACAAATGGTGTAATATTTCAACAAATGTTTTCAATCTTGTATAAAAGTGAAATATGAGACACAAAATTGTCTGAAACATGATCATAAGAAACTCCAAAGACAATGTCGAAAAATAAAATATTGGGGGAGGGGATGGAGGAGAGGAAGAAGAGGAAAGATGAATAGCCAGCAGCAGCCTATAACGTTAGATGGTGCTATCCAGCTCCTCATGCAGCCTCCACCAACCAAGCAGCGTATTTCCTCTTTGAAATAAGTAATAAATTTACAAATAATACATTTCAATCACTGGAGTCAGGATGGTTATGGAGTGCCACCCTGCTGCCACGCACCAGCAGATGGTGCATGCTTTTAATTAGGGCCTGTTCACCTATAATGTGACACTGGGGTGCATGAGTAAGCAAGTGTGTGTTTGTATGTGTGAAGTTAATAGAATGTATTAAATATGGAAGCTCATTCTCATCTGCAGCTGCTGTCCTAGCAAGATTTGAAAGGGAAGCAGCTTATTTCTTTCAGAAAAGAAACCCCAAATCACTACAATGCGGTATCATTTTGTTGCTTCATTATGGATACATTTCAAATCACTTCATATACATATGCAGGGTTAAACTATGAAGAAACATGCAATAATTTCTGCAAGAAAGTCAGGGCTTCCAAACAATACAAAGACCATATATATATAAGAAAACAACAACCAGAAACTATCCATTAGTGGGGACAAGTCTTTCAAAACACAACACAAATTAGTAAATGCTATCTATATAAAAAACACGAGACTAAAACAAGTTCCTATTTAGTATAACACCTACAGACTGTTGTTTTTTTTTTTGCTTTGTACATATGGTACACTCAGTTTCTGTTTTCTCCCTCTTCCTCTCATTACACCCAACAGTTGTTTAGAAAGGAGACATGAGACTATTTTTTGTCTATAGTCAGAAAGTTGCATTGTTTTTTCCATTTACAATTTATTTATACCTTTATGATGTTAACACCCAAATGAAGTTATTTTATGTAGGCTTTAGCACAATCCTAATTCTGCAGCTAAATCAATATATCTCCAGCATTCTCTAAACACACTTCAGAGACTTGCTGTAAATCCTGGTGCTATACATTGAAATTCAATATATCACTTCAAATAAGAACGAACTGAACTCAAAGCTCAAACCTAATACTGTAATGACTGTAAAACATCCTTTCTTCCTCATTGAGAGGTGCCAGGGGAATATTTCACCAACACTCAAATTCTTTGAAAATTATGTAAAAAATGTTAAATCAAGAAAATCTGGCAGTTTTGTTTTGTTGTTTTGTTTAAAAAAACAACAGCAAAAAACCACCCAACTTTTTATATAAAACAACAGTTGTGAGCAGTATAAACTCCAAACCTCAACACACTCCACATTCAAAAGTTTCTAAATTGCATTAAAAGCTAGTGCTAACATTAGGGCTGTGATATTTTTTCATATGCTATGAAAAGAACCTTTTCATTCAGACATAGATTTGTTGGTTTTGTTTTTTAAAAGCACTATTCCAAAATCATCTGGTTGTTGAAAGGCGTGAGTAGTCAACTGAAAAGCTAATCTACTGGTGCGTAGTTGCAGTTCACTAAGTGCAAAAACTAAAGCAAATGATGTACCATTTGAAATCACAGCTTGAAATAGCAGAGAATACATGGGTATCTCATAGAATTTTACATTAATCAAAGAGAAGCACTTAAATTAAGACAGAGTGACAGATAAAAAGCATAACAGCAAGTGACATGGTTGCTGTACCTTATATATGTTTATTTACCCAAGCTGGCACAAAGAAACGGAGGCTACACAACATTACAGTAAGGTTGAGCCCATCTAAGTGAAGGGGAACTGCTGCAATTTTACCACCCTGCCTAAGTCACAAACCCTTCCTCTGCCTCCTTCAGACCAGCACATCCAGTCTGATACTTGGCCCTGAGGTGAGCCAGTCCAACATACTAACCTGAGAGAAGGCCAGACTAAATAAGTGAGCTTTTTTATTGTTGCTTTGGGTTTTTTTTCCTCTAGATTAGTGAGTTCCATTGGCTCTGCATGGGACTGGATGAGCATTAGGGCCATAGAGGAGGAGGGAACACAGCAGTACTGATTTACTTGTGTACAGTTTGCGATCTCACTCCAAAGGGCTGAGAAAGTCAGATAAACCAAGGGGACTCTCTTCATTGAGAAGGTAACAAGCAAGCCCTCCAGATAAATGGGAAAGCAATCCTGCATACAGTACACTCAGCTCTTGTAGACCTTTGAGAAAGGTCCCATAAATAGCAACTGTATTCATTAAGAAACATCACTGCAAATGAAAACTCCAACTGCATTTCACAATCTACTATTTTTCTCCCCGTTCTTTGGAAACAAATACTGAAAAACAGATGTAAGATGCAACCAGGCATTTTCTTCTCTTTTTTCATCCAAGCACACTGAAATTTTAGAAGAGAACACCTTGGATTTTATCTTCTGCGAAGACCATTTAATGAGTTAGTGGCAGGAGTTTACAGTTGAATATATTAGCTCAGTTCTCTTTTACATATGTACACTCAAAATGCTTTTTGTGATCCTTACTTACATGCATATGTCACACAATTAACTCCCAATTAAATCAAAAGTATGTACTCAATGGGTAATAGACTCAATGGGATGGCTTCAGACCAAAGCCACCACAGGTGAATGGCTATGCAAAGTAACAGATGCACATGAGCAGAAAATCGAAAGGGGGCTGGGGGCTCATGTGAGAACACCAGGGCAGAAACATTACCACAGACTCATAGGGAATGGGCACCACTTGTTAATGTCAAGAGACAACAATGCCTCCAAATAATAGTGAAAAACAGTTATAAATAGAAAACAGGCTTTTTCCTAATACTCAGTCATTCAGCTCCACCTTCAAAGAGTCTATCTTTTCTCCTTCCCCGAAGCACAGTTGAAAACCTCACGTGTCTTCATAAAAATGAAGCTTACAAGAAGTGAAGTCTGAAACAATGGCTATTGAGGAAAAATGAAATTGCAACGAAGTACTTTGGAAAATAATAGCTGCTTGGGGATTTAGATTTTTTACTTCAAAATGTTTACCTACGTCATGCTCAAACAGAACAGAAAAAACCCCATCAGTTTCCTTTCCAAGTCTTCACTCTTTGTGCTCTGCTAAACCAGAGTGTAAGAAAAGAAGCTGAAACACCACACAGACACTTGCTTTTATCCACCCAGCACCATCCCTTCAAAATAAACCTGTTTGTCCCAGCACCACTTTGTATTTACCAGTAATTTAACACGCTAAAGGTATCTTTCTTAGGCAGCTTTAAAAACACACTGGCATGTCTTTGTGATTGTGACCAAATATCATGTATTAATGGATCATAGCACAGTTATATGCATCATACTGCTAAAACTAACAGCTATTACGAATTTTAAGTCACTGAGCACATGCACAAAGACAGAAGAGGACTGTGGTACACAACATACGTAGGCAAAACAGATTACAAGGGAAGAAGCCAGCAGGACAGAATAGGAAGGTATAAAGTAAAATGCATTTTTCCTTATTAGCTTCAGTTGTATTTAATAAATTAAGGCAAGTACTCAGTAGCCAGCCACTAGGAAGCTCACTGTTGTTAGTAAGTCTGAAATTACACATATGATGCTTTTCTTAAAGGACACAATGTGCAAAAGAGAGATATTGATTTACAATACAGTAATATTATTGCAAGTGAGGGATTCCTTTTATATAAGCTGTTTCCTCTCACTAACTGTATTTTCTTACCACTTCTCCCTTCCAATTAGCATCTATTAACTTAAGGTAGGAGCAGCATGATTTTTCAGAATTTTCTATTATTACTAGCAAAATATGCAACAGATGAGATTTGTCTGAATTTTCAGAATTACATATAATTTAAAAATGGAAATGTTTTTCATAACAAAAAATCTTCAGAAAAATAATTTTACCTCACCTTAAACTTTTATTAGCATTAGTGCGGATGTCTTCTTATAGAGAATTACTTCAGAGGGAATGATCACTTACATATATATTTGTAGAGATATGTACCATATATATGTTCCATACATACATATGTATTTACATTCTTTTTTCTACAATAAAGGTCTCATTGAAAGACATCAAGAAAGGTGAGACAAAAGATGCATGTAATTACAATTTAATACTAAAAAAAGAAACGTGACAACAGATATGTGTTTGAGACTGAAAGTAAGTATTTCACAGGGAAGTAGTTGTGACTTATCTAATTAAACACAGGACCAACAGAAGGGTGTGGATGGGATGTTTTATCAACAAGGTGTTCCTCAGACTCCATCACTAGACACTTTTTCAGCATTGACACCTCAAGTTATAGCACAACAACAACAACATCTGCCTGTTTTCTAAATAGCAAAGCCTATTCCTCGAATCAAGCTTTGCTTGGGAGAGCAATGGGGGTGGCCGGAAGATAGGAAGGAAGGAGGGAAAAGTAAAGAAACAGAAAAATTAAGACTACCACCCAATATTTCCTTGACTGTTCTAACCAAAGTTCTGAGACAGTCTTCACAAAAAGTCTAAAGAATTAAACTCACCAGCCACTACTTGGTTTCTCTGCTACTATACAAGTTCCAGTGACATTGCCAAGAAACATATCTGGAAGAGAATAGCACTAGCGATACTCTGGAAAGAAGCTCAGAAGGTCTCTAGTCCCACCTCCTCCTGGAAGGAGGGTGGGTGATGGGATGAGACCAAGCTACTCATGGCTTTGTCCAGTCAGGTCTTGAAAACGTGGATGGTGACTTGACTACCTCTTTGGGAAACATGCTCAACTGCTTGGCTGTCCTTGTGGTGAAAAAGATTTTCCTTGGAGTCAGTAAAAAAATTAAACATTTTCCTTCACTTCACATCTGCTGTCTCTTGTCCTCCTGCCAGGCACCTCTGGTTACTTTGAGGTACTGATTGCTACTATGTTCCCTCAATGTTGTTTCTTTTCCAGGCTGAACAAGCCCAGTTCCCTCAGCCCTTTTATCATAGGGCAACTGCTTCAGTCCCCAACCACCTTGAAGGGTTCTGCTGAGCTTGCTTCAGGTTGTGTCTTTCCTGTATGGGGGGTGAGAGCAAGACTGCATACAGTATTCCAGATGCAGTCTAACAAGCACTGAGTAGAGGGGGATAATGACTCCCCTCAATCTGCTGGCTGAGCAACTATTAATCCATCTCACAATGCTCTTGGCTTTCCTTGCTGTCAGGGCACACATCTGTTCGAAATTTTGATAGGACATTTCTGAAGCACAGCATTATTTCTGAAATTAAAAGATTTAGTATATATCTAGTGACAGTGCCCATATTATACTTCTAATATAGAAATTATAAAAATGCCAATTCCTTAGAAAAGAGATTGAGTATCAGAAGTATGTTACAGCATACAGTTTTAAAAGAATAACCAAGATATTTTGTCTTCCAAAAGATTAAGAAACAGCTCTCTGAAGGTTACATGAGGTTAAGCTTTGTTGGTAATTTTTACAGACTAGTAATTTTGAGTGTACTGAACAGGCTTCTAACGAAGTTTTACTTTGCAAAAGTGATCCTCAGATTCTAGTAATGAAGATGACTTATTCTGGCTCTTGATTTTTGTTCATGTAAACCTGTGCTTTTTGAGGAAGAATTTAAGCATCACAGGTCCAAAATTAATCTAGTAAAAGAATATACATTGCAATTAGATAGAATTCAGTCATCTCATCAAAGACAACAATGAACCGTAAGTACAATTTCTTAAGAAATATGTATGAAGTAAGAGACCACCTGTTCTATCTGCTTATAGCCAACACTCTGGAAGTTACAGAATTTGGAATATTGGAGTTATTCTCCAAATCTTATCCTCTCTTCCACTTCTAGAAGAACTTTACAGCTTATCCAAAGATCTTTGCTTCTTATAACTCAGTCAGTGGTGACAAACATCCCCCACTGGACCTCCCATGACCATATGGCTCAATGACCTTCCCTCATTTATAGCAAAGCACTGCATGTTTAGTTTAGCAAATTTACAACATCAGTTTTGACAACAATGATGGATATTTGAAATTACAATGCAATAGTTAGCAGCATAGAAAAATCTAATATATGCAAAGCTTATTAGTCAAACCTAAAGCCTACAAAATTATTGTGGAATGCACAACAAAATCACTGTCCAGCTTTGTGCTTACAATGGAGTACTGAGTATTATTTTTAGACATTTGGGATCATAAATATAATGCCTTCGGACTATAAATGAAACATTCCAGGAAATTCAGATATAGACTACTGTGATTAAGTTACCAGAGACACTGAAAAAAACCACATCAATGTTGTTTTGTACACTATGAATGCTACCTAAGGCACAGAAAGTCAAGTGAACTACATTTTTCCTTCTGTATTTTTTCTATTTAATTAGTTACAGAACATGGAAGTCTGCACAAGCTTTACAGATGATAACACTAGCACTAAAGAAATGGGGGCTGAAAACCCCTGCCTCAGCCAAGAGCAGAAAAGGAATGCAGTGGGTACAAACTGGGCACCACTTCATGCTCACGGGAAATCGGACGCACCTTTTTACATGATAAAAGTGCAGAAGAAACCATGTGTGAACAGAAGTGAGGTTTGAAGGGAAAAGAATATTCTGCTTGGCAAAGCTGAGTGACTGGTTCACTCACAGACTATGTGAGAGGGGAAGATTTGAGCTTCTGAGGCAGGCATAGATGATTTTCATCCACATGAATTAAGCAGCATCTCTATGCATGAGGCATAAAGTGCCAGAACTATCTACTATGGCTTTCCACACTGTACGGCTTTCCACTCCTTTCACCTCTCAGGAGCTACCAGCACAAACAAGCATTGTTTCAGTATTTGCAGGCTAGTTATGGAAAAACATGGCCACAACTTTATGATCATTGTAGCATAATGATAATCAGCTAAGACATAACTCTGCTAGCTTCAGTAAAATAAACTCAGCTTCTCAGAACCTGTATATCCTACATACTTTTTGGAGTGCAGAAGTAATGTTAAGCAAAGGAATACTAAGTCCTAAGTGAAGTAATACACTTCATGTGTGGAGCTACTTCACATAAAGAATCAAAAAGGTCGCACCAGTTTTCCTATTATTTTTCCTGCAGTTACTCTATAAAACAATGTACAACAAATTATCTATCTGCTAATTATGAAGCAAAGAGCGTCTACCAGGCAAAATGTTTCTTTTGGGCTGCATATGGTCTCCACCTCTAAAACGGGGGTGCACACACTCCTACTCTCCCAACTGTAGATCATGGCATACAATGCAATATTTCAACCTGACCAGACCATATATAATTCAATATTAGACAGAAAAATAAAATTGAAACTTAAGCTATGCCAGTCCAGTGAACAGAAGTCACTCAAACCTACCAACAGATCATCTGTGCAGTGAAGCAGTTTAATCTACCCACTGTAACAGAAAGGGAGATCAGAAATATTCAAGATGACAGAAAGATCAGTTTTCTTCCTCCAAGAAGAGAAACATTGACAAAGCACTGTTCTGCAATCTAGTAAAGGCTAAGTACGTGAAGTTCAGATGTTAAGATTTAAAGGTGAAGACAAAGCTAAGGGAAAGGTCAGTAATTTAGAGTTTTCCAGTCAACTTCTTAACACTCACAGCTTTAAAATATGAAGGGGAAAAAAAATAAATCACCTTATTCTATTTCTTTAATATATATCTATATATAATCTCTTGATCAAGACTAAGCTCAGACTAGTGCATTTATGTATCACAAAAGGTTCTGCATTTCAAGCTGAATATGTGTTACAAAAAAGCCCAGAGAGTACTTCATCGCTAACTAAAAAAAAACCACAGCAAAATATTCACTCACGAGTGATGGTACCACTTTTTATCCTTTATCTGCAAGTAGGAAAAAACAAACACACAGCAAACACCAAATTCTTTCCCTTCCGTAAGGACACGGCTACAAGAAGTTCCTCTCCAATAAAAATTACTCTAAATGTGGAATTAACATCTGACTTAAAACTCAGTAACTCAGACAAGTACTGACTAAGGTTACTGCATGAGATATCAGGAGAGGAAAAGAGGTATGAAGAGTGGTCTATT